TCCCTACACAGAGGGGGAAAAAAACATTGTTTATTTGAGTTGAGTTAGGTTGAGTTTGAGTTGAACATTAAGTTCTGTCAATATATTTTGCGCTTTGTTACATTACTGGAGAATGATATGTGTAGGTTCCAGAATGATGCTCCTACTTATCTTATTCTTTTAAAAAAAGAATCCCAAGTGCCAAGTTAATATGCTTCCCCACATATGGCTGTGGACTTGTTCCGGTATTCCTGGACCATACACTAGTTTCCAGACTTTCTCCATAAAGACTGAGCCCTCACGGGACAGCATCGGTGTAACCCTGGGAATGCACAAGTAAATCAGCCCCCTCTCCAAACTTACTAGAGGAAGAATCAGAGTCTGATGCTCAGAAACTGGGTGCTTTTTATCAGTTACCCCACTTTTCTAAGTGTGTCCCCTTACTTAACCTTTACAGGGTATATACGGAAAAGCCAAGTACATCCATTTTACTGTGGCAAACAGCTCTTACTGAAAAATCTCATTCCTAATGTCCTCCACTCCACTCCCATTGTATCAGCTCTTGAAACAGTTGAACAGTTGGTCAACAGATATCCTTCATTCTCACTCAAGTTTTACTATTTACCTCATTACTGCTTACCTTTCAGTCAGCAAATCAATATTTATTATTATTATTATTTTGTGTGTGTGTATGTATGTAACTCTACTAAAATGAGTCTTAAATAACAAAAACTCTTCCTACAAAAGCACTGGCAAACTCATACGAAGAGAGGGAGACTTTGAATCCAAAAGGAAAGGGTTATAATACCTTGAGCAATTTATTTAACCTCTTTGAGATGCAGTTTACTCATTTCCAAGTAGTAATAATAAATGCATATCTCATCAGGTTGTGGTGATAATTAGAAATAACACAGGTTAAGTGGTCAACAGTGTCTGGCTTACAGTAGGTAGTTGATAAATTATATCTGTTACCATTGTTAAAGTACAATGGAAAAAGGAAAAATCAGTGAGCATACTTATTTGCTCTATTCCTAATCCTTTTGTACAAAAGCTTGGTGTTTATAAAACCAGCATTGTTTAGGGAAAATATCACAAAACCCACTCTAGAGTGGAAAAACTTGAATTCAGTAAGCTTGAGTTACTTACCCAAAGCTGAATCCCAGTTCATTTGGGGGGTTTTTGAGTAGGAAACAAATGTGTATCTTACTGTATAACACTACCTCTTACATTATCTTTGTACTTTAGTAATGAATTTGAGATGGTGGTGAAAATTTCCACATCTAAAAGCAGAGTCTCCACTTAGTCTATAGAAGAGGTTTAGGAGAGAGGATCTGTTGGCTTTCCACACAATTTATGTATAAAAATGTGTAGATGTATGAATTTTCTGGACAGAGGGGACAGACATCTATGAGATTCTCAAATGTGAAATTCTCAAATATATTCTCAAATGGACCCAATGAAAGTGAAGAACTATAACAGCTGCAAAATTAAGCCAAGTTTTCTCATTCTTGACACTATTGCTATTTTGGACTAAATAATTCTTCATTGGGGGGCAGGGGACTGTCCTGTGCATCATAGGATGTTTAGCAGCATCCCTGGCCTCTACCCACTGGGTGCCAGTAACGTGTGTGCATGAGCACGCGCGCACACACACACACACACACACTCACAACAACAAAAATATCTCCAGATATTGCTGTATGTCCCCTGTGGAGCAAATTGCCCTCTGTAGAGAACCAATACATTAGGTGAATACATTATCTGATTGGTTGTTTTTCTTAATTGATCATTACCTTATCTTATTTCAATAAATAAAATTGGGAAAGACCCAAACAAGCCAGATATATTAGTTTTAACAGGTTGAGTCACATTTAAATACTTGAAATAACTAAAGTCACACTAATGCAGTAAGATTATTTTCAAATTCATATCTATCTTTTTAATAATGGCATAATTATCCCCAGTTTTGATGAGAATGAAACCTTACCGTGGAGTGAGCAAGAGAGATTGTACTGCAGTTTTTCTACATTCTAACTTATTCTTGACTGATTAGTGAAGTCATTCATAAGTAGAAAATGAGTATATTTGGGGGCTTTGTTTGCTTTCATGGGGCTTTTAAGATAATTAGTTCAGTAATAGAGTCACTGATCCAGGAGGTAGGTAAACTATGCCTATGGAAATTATCAGTGAGCTGGATGGACTGCCAGGATGGAAGCTTAACAAAATATGCCCAGATGTGATTATACCGAAAGCCCCCAATATTAGAGAGACCCTGTTAAGTACTAAACAGTCAAGTAACTCACTATGCCCTGTGGTCTAGGGACTGCAGGCTGCTAAAGTACCTGGACTCAATACTGATCAAGTATGATTCCAATTAATCTTCAGATCCAGAATCACTTAATGGAATTCCAACCCCTTTTCTTCATATTCCACTTCACAGTGGGTCTCTAAGCCTAGCACTAAGCTCACTTGTATAATGTGGAATAAAAACAACAATAATAGGTTTCATTTACTATGTGCCAAATACCATGTCAGACATGTCAATCATCATTACAACCCCATGAAATAGGTTTTAGTATCTTCATTTCATAATTGAACAAACTGAAACTAGGCAAGGAACAAAGGATGGATTCAGACTCCTATCTATCTGACTCCACAGCCTGACCTCCTTTCAATTCTAATAATAAACTTTTACTGAGAACTACCCACATTAAGTGTTTCACACATTATCTCATTTAATCCTTACAAAAATAATATGCATTATTATTATTATCCCCACTTTACAAATAAACAAGACCAAGCAACATGCCCAAGATCACCTAGTTGTTTTTACTACCAGGGTCAAGGTGAAAACTCAGGTATTCTGACACCTGAGGACACATACTTAACCGCTACAGTATATACTCTCCTCTATAGAAACCAACCAAAGGATATTTGAAAGAATGAGACACAATCAGCTCTCTTCATATTGAACCAATTGGACAATTTAGCTTTAAAAACAGAGGTAGCCAATGCTCCCCTGCTGGCACAGTGGTTGAGAATCCACCTGCCAATGCAGGGGACACGGGTTTGATCCCTGGTCTGGGAAGATCCCACATGCCGCGGAGCAATTAAGCCCGTGCACAACAACTACTGAGCCTGTGCTCTAAAGCCCATGAACCACAACTACTGAGCCCGCATGCTGCAACTACTGAAGCTCGGGCACCTAGAGCCTGTGCTCCACGACAAGAGAAGCCACCGCAATGAGAAGCCCACGCATTGCAACGAAGAGTAGCCCCCGCTCACTGCAACTAGAAAAAGCCCGCACGCAGCAATGAAGACCCAACACAGCCAAAAATAAATAAATTAAATAAGTAAATTAAAAAATAAATAATAGAGGTAGCCAGACCCAGTTCTCACTAATAATGTCCTGTTTCTGCAGTTCACTCCAACAGATATCAGGTTTTGTATGGAAGCTAAGACTCTTTTGAAATGTATGAAGTTGAGTGTTTGGGAACAATGTTTCTTTGATTGTTTTGACCCTTTGAATAGATATTACAATCAAGCTGAATGAGAAAAGTCCTGAGAAATTAGAACAGTTGCTGTATTTACTGGCTGAGTTTTCTTGGGTCAGACTAGTTCCCAAGTCTCATAAGTATACACCTTCCTCTCCCCACCCACCTTTTCATCAGTCTAAATAAATATAACATGAAGGACCCATTTGTGTTTTCTCACTAATAGAACTTTTTGTAAATAAATGATGAAAGAATTTTATAAGAGAGACAGAGGATGAGAAATAGACCCACATTCCCTATAAAACTGTTTCAGCACAGCTGGCTTGCTTACTTTTAAGAGAGTTCTGAGGCCACTAAGTTGTGAAAAGAATAATTAACCAGCATATATTTTTAAGGACAGTGAACAAATACAAATGAACATCAAATTTTGAGAGATTCTTATTTAGTTTCAAAGTCAGACAGTACTTGAGAGATTTTTAAGTTGCCTTGAAAGTTGATTAATTGGCCTAAAATGTATTGAGCCCCCAGTGTCCTAAGGCATACAGGAAGGCTGTAATGTTTTAATTTCAATAACTGGCACCATGAAACGTATTCTTGCAAAATAAAATTTTAAAACTAATTTAAAGCCTTCATTACTATTGATAAAATTATCATCAGTCTTTCTTTGTGGATGGACATTGCTTCAGGAAATTTGGTATCCAAGGGAAGATAGTCTTTTGTATTAGGTGGTTTTATGTAAGGGATAGAAACCAATCTCCAACTAGCTTAAGCCCAGAAGGGGTAGATTGATTTACAGCAGGGCATTCTCTTTCTCTCTGGAATAGCTGCTTCATTCACTCTGGTCAGTTTCTCTAGTGGGAGACTGGGCCTCAGACACTCTGAATTCACATCATTACAGAGAGAGTAAGGGAGCTTCTCTCTCCTGCTTCAGTTAAAAAAAAAAAAAAATCCAAAGAAGGAATTCTGGTTGGCATGTCTGTGTCACAAGCCTACCTCTTGTCACTGTTGCCAGAGGGCAAGGTACCATGATTAACCCAGCCTGGAAAAGACACCTACCTTTAGGGCCAAAATGGTTGGGAACTGTTTCTGAAAGAAGGAGGCAGTGGGTTCTGGCCAGGCAGAATAATAGTTAGTACATCCTCATCTACTTTCGGTGATAAAAGGAAAGTAATTTGGCATGTGAGAAACAGATCCCAGATAACATGTATCATGAAAACAAGCAAAAAAGAAAGGAATAAAGAGGAACAAGAGATAACATTGTACTTGAATGGAGTCGAGAATTTTATAAACATGTCGAGATGAAAATCCAACGTTTCAGCAGCAAACACAGGAATGGGCCATTAGGCTACCTGATTCTAATGCCTACAAAAACACCCTCCATAACTGATAGGATGCACTGCAGAAGAAAGCACAGAAGAAGTGGTTCTCTGAGAGACTGGTTTGTGATAGAATACCATGCAATGAGGTAGGGGCCACAGGAATAAGATGGTATAAGGTGGATATTTGGGTTGTCCTAGCCTTGTTAACAAATGATTATTTTCTTGAGCTTTTCAGCTCTCCATAAGCCTTTCAGAATTTAGGGAATTTACAGCATTGCAATAGTTGTTGAAACAGTTCAACTATCTCAATTCCAATTTTGCTAAGAAGAAAGAGACCCAGCAAGGGCATTTGCCTTTCCCAGGAGCAGAAAAAAAGTTAGTACTGCATTAATATAAAGACTCAAGCCTCTGTGTTATATGACTCTCATGCCTAGTCTTGACTAGGTCCCACAGAAAACAATGCAAGATGAAGGGGTTCCATTGTGCATGTGCTTTCTTTTTTTTTTTTCTTTAATGATTTTTGAGTTACTGACAAGCTTGTATGGATATTGGCTTCAACAGACCAAGTGTTCTCTCACCTGAACACAGCTCCCTATGTCAACATCCCTTATCAGCCGTCTCAAAAGTGCACCTCCTTCAAAGGTTTCCTTCAGTGTCAGCACCACAGGAATACTCAGTTATTCTGGTTTTCTTTTGTTTCTCCCTCTGCTTCCCTACCCTTCCAGATGATAGACATGATGTACTTTGTCATCATTATGCTGGTGGTGCTGATGAGTTTTGGGGTCGCCAGGCAAGCCATCCTGTTTCCCAACGAGGAGCCATCATGGAAATTGGCCAAGAACATCTTCTACATGCCCTATTGGATGATTTACGGGGAAGTGTTTGCAGACCAGATAGACCGTAAGCAAGTTTATGATTCTCATACACCAAAGTCAGGTATTTAACTTCATTTGGGTCATATCTTTTCCAAGTTCATTTGTTTGTTTTCAATAAATGGCTCAAGATAGAGGACTGATTCCTAGCTTGCTATCTTGGAGGAAAAAAAACAATTACATAAGGTGAATATACAATTTTAGCAAAGTAGTCCTCGGGTGTTTTTTTCAGGTATGTCCTTTTTGTGACATCTGTTGTGCAAAATTTGATCAAGAATGAACCATTTAGAAAGGTCTAAATTCTTTGGGGATTCAAAATCCTAGGGCCATGTGTTGAATATTTCAATATTAGGAGTATATTATGTCACTACTCCCCACCCTACCCCAGCCCCCAGCCTTTAAAAAATAAATTCCTTGGGTTTGACTTCAGAACAAATAAACAGTTCTCAACTTCGCCATCAGAATTCAAGAGGGCAAACATCTGCATGGTGTTTTCCTTGCACTGGAAATTATTCTCCAGCTCCTTTTCCCACTGTCTTAAATTATGTGCTATTGAGACTCAAAAGAAGCTAGTATTCATTGCCTGGAAGTATGGAAAATGCCTTAGGTTATAAAATGAGTTGCTTGCTTGTAAATGCCAGAAAAAAAAATAGTATCTATATCGTGAAGTGATTCATTGTGAGGAGCGAGTGCCAGCAGGCCCCTGGTGTTTCATGCCCTGATAGATGCTGATTCTCTGTAATAAACACCCTTCTTGTATAGAGTTTGAAGATAGTTGTGTCCTAGGAGTCTGTTCCAGCATTTTATTTGGATCAAATGTCAGGGCACACCAAGCACTGGGAAATTATTTGGGAAGAAAGCATCAGGAAAGAAATATCTTTCAGTGTGGAGGAGTTGAATCCCAGGAGCAACCATTTCTCATTTTCCCTGAGGAGTTTAGCTCTAGAAATAACATCCTTCCAACATTGTTGAATTAACATTTTTCTAACATTTTTTGCTGACAGGCCAGCCATCTGAGCTCTGGACTATGGACATGGATTAGGATTATATAACTAGGTAGTATAGCTTATAAAGAACAGGAGCAGAAACTAGTCAGCATCTCCCCCGCTCCCCGCCAGTCCCAGGTAGGACTGAGACCAGGAAAGTAAGGGCAAAGCACCAAAAAGTGTGAGTCCTACAGGCCTGTGAAGAGCATGTGTACACTGGCCACAGAACACACCAGTCTCTCATTTTCCCTTCCATGACGGGTTTTGAACAAATACTGTTTCCTTCTCACAGTGAGTTATCTGAGGCAGGAAGATTTTTTGGAACACCTAATTGGAACAAATACTCATTTCATGAGACTTAGCCATCTCACTGAGCAAGAATTTTAACTCCATCTCCCAGTTGGAATATCTTTGACAATGTGCAGCCTTCACCAAGACAGCTTTCCAGGGACTGGGGAAAACTCTTTTGAATTCCTTTTCTCAAATGGTCCCTAAAGGCAAAACAACACTTAAAAAGCCCACCTATGATCATTCTCCTCAGAGATTAAATGTACTATTTTTCCCCAGAAAATTGCTTTTCCACTTACATTATTTTACATTTTTTATCTTTCCTTTCTTTCC